TGGTCCTCAGCCATAACAGAGGACGAGCAAAGCAAAAGAACTTGCAGGGAAAACAACATTCAAAAATATCAGGAGAGTCAGAAAGGTCCAAATCCAAGAAGATACAAGTGTCTTGGAAACAGTGAGACCCACCTGTGCGGTGTCAGGAGGGTGACTGAGCTGGCATGTCGCACGGCTCACCTTCTGCTGGAGCAGGGAACTGGGCAGGGACAGAGGGGCTGGTGGCACCCGTACCAGCGAGGAGCATGGGCCAGAGGCCACGTGCTGAGCCCTCAGAGAGACAGTGGCGACGGCTGAGCCGGTCTCACCATCCTCAGAGGCACAGGGCGTGCGGGTGGGAGGGTTCAGCTGGGAAAGGAATGAAATAAAAGGGCCGCCTCCAGCCACACCTGGCCGTCCCCCTCCAGGGGCCCTCTCTCTGACCCTGCGTTTCCTCCTCTAGAAGAGGGTTCTGCACTTTGCCTGGTGCCAAGGCCTCTGGGGCAGTCTGATGAGGTCTAAGAAGCTTTGTCAGAGTCCTGTTTTTCAATGTCCACAATAGGATTACAAAGGAAATAAGTTATTTTGAAATACAATCATCAAAATATTTTTAAAGTTGTGATAGAGTAATGTGCATCTTTATCAAGAGTTAGCAGCTGAGCCGATAACGACTGTCCTTTTCAGGTAGCAAGACTACCCAGGACCTGGTGAAATATGTGCAGCTGTGGGTGGTGTGGGGTGGTGCGGGATGGTGTGGGGTGGGGTGGTGCAGGGTGGTACGGGATGGTGCGGGGTGGGGTAGGGTGGTGCGGGGTGGTGCGGGGTGGTGTGGGGTGCTGTGGAAACCTGATCCCGGCTGGGAGCAGAGTGCAGCACTGCCATGGTGTGATGCTCACTTCTTGGGATCTCTAACCTTCCGTAGAGATGAGTGAACATAGTGTGTGGGTTTTTCTCCTCATCCAAGTTCACAGACTCCTAAATTCTACTCCCTGAAACTTGAAGGGTCTGTCAACACCGGGACAAGGATCCTGCTCTAGGCCAGTCTCCAGCTGTCCTCAGGGGGGAGGAGAATTCCCAATCTAAGCCCCCTCCATCCCCTCAGCAGGGAAAGGGGAGGGAGAGAAAACAAACCAAGGAAACAAAACTACTTTTCCAAATTCCTTTACCTGCAGACAATCCTTTTGCTCTATAATTGGAGAATGGTCTAAAAGGCAGGTTCTGTGTTAGAATATGGGGATGAATAGGTTTCAACCACAGGACAAGTGATCACTTTCTAAGGTTCATGAGAAGTCGAAGGCGTGCAGCGTGATGGCCCTGGCCAAGGCTGGGAGGGAGGGGCTGGCTGAGGCTGCAAATCCAGGAGCAACATTCTGAAATGTAGGTTTTCTTTCTCTGCTTCCTGAAAAGGCAAAGCTGTTTCAAAGCGCTTTATGGTCTCTCCAGGTGCCCGCAGCCAGCTTAGCAGGAATTCTGGTTTGGATTTTCTTCTTATCCTGACAGTCATCACTAACTTCTGGCAACCAAGTAGGAAAATGCTTCATCCCGAAGCCCTCCTTGGGGCGTGAGCGCTATTCTTAGGATCCAGGATTAGCTTCAGCCAACCCAGGATTTCTCAGTCTCATGTGGCCATGAATGGTTTCCCATTAGATAGGTACTCGTGTTCATCATGGCAACCACAAGACTCCATTGTGATTACTGAGCACATGGCGATTTCCTTCCCCTCGGGCCAAGGCGCTCTGGCTCAGGGAGGCCTGCCCTCCATCCTTTCATTGCCAACCCCAAGAATACGGGGCACCTGGAGGTCTGTGAGTGCTTGGCTGGCCAGTGCATTGGCCGATGGGTTGATCGACTGAATGAATGAATGTCTGAGAGATGGGAAGAAATGCTGAGTGCAGGTCGCTGTGTGTTCCTCTGCCGCGAGCACAGGGAGGAAAGGCCAGCACAGGGAAAGTTTATCATAAACTTCTCAGTGCAAGTCTAGTTCATGTTCCACTTAAACTGAAATAACGGCGTGGCCCTCTCGCTGCAGAAGAGGCAGGCGCGTCCTATCCAAGCATCTGGAGCTCCGAAGCGACAGAGACCAGGTCACTAGTGAGCCAGCAGCATCTCATCTGCAGTCTGTGTGTGTTTAACGGGACATCTCAGCAGGTATCACAATTCCTAGCAGATGATGGCAGCTAACAGGAAGGTGACAGGCCCAAACTGGGCATGATCCTAAACAGTTTCTCAATATAACCTTTAGTGGGTTGGATCACATTTATAGGAGATAATGAAGCGGTAAAAAGTTATTCATAGAGGTACAGATTCAGGAGAAAAATATTAATAGTTGGATTTCAACCCGGTAAGCCTTTAAAGAATGCTTTTTCATCGACCATCTGTTTTAGGATCCTGATCAACTAATTCCACCCACTGCATAATCCCCAAAGCAGAACTAACAAGAAACAACATCTGCTGGTTACAGCAGGGTGACATACAGCATTTTTGTTTTTACAAAACTTGAGTTCAAAAAGAACCTTCAAAATTAAAATTAACATTGAAGGACCTGGACGAGAGCCCACTGCTGCCAGACTATGTTCTTTAAGAACAAACAGAACAGGCCACTCAAGAACTTCTTCGCTGAAGACCCGGGGTTCACTTTTCCTAAAGCTGATCGGGGCCTAAGTAAGAGTTTAAACTCAAGACTGAATGCTTTGTTCTATTTCTGTCACCTACTTCTGGGAACAAAAGCTGCTTATATGTAACTGAAATTTAAATCAATAGCTCAGGAAGAACAGTTGAAGAATGAATATAATTAAAGAGGCTTTGGGGTTTTAATCACTATTTCTGTATTTCTTTCAAAATTGAACAGTCCCTTCTATCACAAACTTGTTCACCTATAGTAGATAAGCTGCCTGGCTGCTCATACCCACACCAGAATCACCACGTCCCACAAGCTCGCCTTCCAGATACATTTACCTCGTGCAATCATGAGGTAAATTTTGGGGGGGGCCTACCATCTCAGTTTTCCGGGGGCTGAGGGATTTCTCAGATGCTGGACCTGGGAGAACCCTGGGCGAACTGCGACAGTGTTGATTACTCTGATGGGTATATGACACTGAGGTAAGTGGGGTGTGTGTGTGTGTGTGTGTGTGTGTGTGTGTGTGTGTTTTGTTAGAAAAGTTATTCTTTATTAAAAACATGATTTAAACAGGATTATTTTTCTTTTCTTTTTTTTTTAAAATATATTTTATTGATTTTTTACAGAGAGGAAGGGAGAGAGATAGAGAGTTAGAAACATCGATGAGAGAGAAACGTCAATCAGCTGCCTCCTGCACATCCCCCACTGGGGATGTGCCCGCAACCCAGGTACATGCCCTTGACCGGAATCGAACCTGGGACCTTTCAGACCGCAGGCCAACGCTCTATCCACTGAGCCAAACCGGTTTCGGCGAAACAGGATTATTTTTCATTGCTGAATCACTTAATAGCTAGTGTAAATTACTGCATGCAAATCACTTCAAATTCAAAAAATTACTATCACGTGACTGTGCAACTACTCTACAATCTTATTGTACTTGGAATACTTTTAATTTCCTTACTTAAAAATGCACTTACTATTTTTCTGGAGATGTATATTTTATTTTTATATTTGCTAAAATCAATGAAATGCTTATACAATAACTGAGTTGGTTATTCTAAGAAAGGTGATTCCCCCATTTTGCTGTAAACTAGCAAGAGGAACTGTGGTTTGGCTGGTTTCCACCTGTGCATGTGTTGTGGCCTCTGGTCGGGCATCAAAGCTCCTCGTGGTTGCTGGGCACTGAAGTAACCAAGGAGGGGCAGAGACTCACCCTCCACTTGGCTCATCTGCAGACTGAGGTGGACCAGTAGCGAAAGCAGTGAAGAGTTCCGCTCCATCCTTTTTCCTTCCTGTAGACCGGAGGGTCCCTCCACATTCCTTCTCTGTCCACTTATCCTCTTGAGATAAAGAGTTGCCCTGGCTGGTTTGGCTCAGTAGATAGAGTGTTGCCCTATGGACTGAAGGGTTCCAGATTTGATTCCAGTCAAGGGCACATACCAGGTTTGTGGGCTCAGTCCCAAGTAGGGGGCATGCAGGAGGCAGCCGATCAATGATTCTCTCTCATCATTGATGTTTCTATCTCTCTCTCCCTCTCCCTTCCTCTGAAATCAATAAAAAGTGTAAAAAAATAATAAGAATTTCGAGAGAGAGGGAGAGAGAGAGAGAGAGAGAGAAGAGCTAAGCTACCCAGTAAACACCACCTGGCTGCTTCCCCGCACGCCCACAGCTCCCACCCCGGTCCATGTCACCAGCATCTGGGGCCTGGACTGCAACCTGTGCCCTGTCTCCCTTCAGACTGTTCTTACACTAGTCAGGATGATCCTGTTTAAAGTCTAATTGAGTCACTACTCTGCTCAAACTCTTCAAAAACTAATGGTCTCACACAGAGACCAGACAATCTCACGTCATTACAAGGGTCTGCCCACCCTTCTCTCTGACCTTGATCTCATGAGTAACATTCAATGAACACTGGCCGCTGTCCTCTCTCCAAGCTGCCTCCGCAGCAGAGCCGCCTCTCAGTCCCTCTGGCTCAGCACGTACACTGGCTTCCATCCTGCCTGCTGCCTCCCTTTGGTGTCAGGTCTGTCCGTCCCAACTCCAGAGCCCCTGCCTCTAAGCTTTTCCAGTGCAGCTTGCTCTCCTGGAATAGCCAGGCATCCTCAAAACTAAGCAGATGCCAGGAACTCCTCGTCCCTCCTGCATGGGATTCTAATGACACCACGGCCACCATTTCAGCCTGGCTTTTAAGGCTACCCAGCCCACACTCCCAACCCGCCCCACCGGATTTCCTCTAAGCAACTGTACTTCCTTGTGCTTCCAGGTGCGCACTGCCCACCGGAGCCCAGCAGATATGCCTGCTGAGGCCAGTCAAGGTGCAGACTCCTTCGGCGCTGCCTTTGCGCATGCTTCAGAGATTTCCCATTCTCTCTGGGCCTTGACGCTTCTTTAAATCCCGTTTATGTCTGTCTCTTCCTCTAACAAGGTTTTCTCAGTCACTTCCACTTTCTAATCATTGCTCCTTGCTAACAACCCTGTGACACTTTCACCCGAACGTTAGTCCTTGCTTGCGGGTTTCTCTGTAAATACTGTAAACACCTTTTGTGTACTCTGCGCCCTCCCCTTCCCCCCCGCCCCACAGGGCTTCGGAGCACTTTCTCAAGCCGACTACTTAGCAGGTGTTGCTAGCAGACTATCCTACACCTACGGGCATTCCCATAAATACTGTCTGAGTCAAAACGCAGCGGATTGGCACTCATTTACAGCGACTGTTTACAAGTGGTAGTGAAAAGAAAGAAGGAGAAAGCTTAAATGTTAGCTAGTGTTTAAAGTCAGTCACACTTCCCATGATCCGGTCAGCTTGTACCACACGCATGGAGATTTCCCACGTGTCCTAAGGCAACGTCTGCTTTCCTAACCCCTCTCTGACCCTTGCCACCAAGCGTCCATGGGAAGAGAGCCCAAAGCCATTGGAAGGTGTACAGAGAACATCAAGCTTCACCCAGTCCCACTGCTCAAACTCAGTGTTGGATCTGGTCTGAGGCCACCAGATCCACGTTCTTTACACTGACTGCTTACTTACGGCCTCCCTAAGCCAAAGGAGAATTAGTACCTTGGACAATTTCCCCCACAGAGCTTGGTAAATTTACTTACCCTGACAATTTAGCAAAGAAGAAACAACAAAAGAAAATACCACGGTAAATGTTTCTGCCCATTCTGTACCATCACTAGGCTAATAAAAACTCACTGTTTCTTAGAGTATTATACAAAAACTAAATGATGGAAAATGCTACTTTGAATTAAAAGTTTTGTCTAATATGTCCCCATTTTTATTATTTCTTTTAAAGATCAAACTGAAGCTATCAAACCAGTGAAGACATTTGGTTAAGGACTAAAACGGACGTGGCGATATTTAACAGTAACTCACAGGATCCGCAGGCCCACAGAGCTCTCGGAAGGTCTTTGCAGGGTTCGTCTGCAGGATCTCCAATGCCACGCAAGGGCCAGAATATATTTCTGTCACCATCTCCTGTAATATGTAATATAAAATATTAAAAAATAAAGTAAAAATTACCTTTGACTTCTTCCCCACCTATACTCTACACTTTCTCAACAAAAGTGTCTGTGTTCCCTTATCTCCGTTCCTACCACTGCCACCGCATGAATGTAATCCTGGACACTTTCACTATCTGAAATCATTTTCTAGGACAACCTCCTTTCAAAGGATCTCCTCGTGAGCATAGTACTGTCGAAAGCATCTCTGAAGAAATAAATTCCAAAGCGCTCCTTCCAAAGACATGAGAAACAGCAGGGAGAAGTTTATCTCCTCATTAAACACCTGGAAAGCAGACCCTCTATGGAGCCACAGTCAGACACTGGGTGAAGGGCAGGCCAGTGGTCCCGGGAGAAGGGAAGCGAGCGAGGAGCTTGCGACTGCCCAGCTCCCTGCCTGGAGGCCTTCTCCAGACAGTGGGACAGGGCGAGGAGACAGAGCCCAACATTCTCAACGGTCCAGGAGACAAAGATGGTGCATGGATGGACTCGCAGGATGAACTACTAGAGGGGGTGCAGGAGCCCTGGGAGGGTTACCCCAGGGATCTGCCAAGAACGTCACTTGAATTGTTGGCTAAGAGATGCAGAGGACACAATCCAAGGCTGAGATAAAGAACTCCCAGAGCATATGTGGAATGATTCAGAGACACACGAAGCTGAGAAGGGCTCACGCTCTACAGGCGGAGTGGCCAGCCCTCATACAACACCTAGGGCATCAGACAGAGTTCAGGGGAGGTGTGAGCTCAGCCAAGGGCTTAGGGCATCGGGGGCTGAGCCAGACCACAGGGCAGCAGCAGAGACAGGGCCAGACCATGCAGGGCTGGGGGCCCTTGTTGTGGCTCTGCAGCATTTATGGTACACAATGCCAAAGTAAAATAAGACGTACTTGTTACAGGACAATATTTCAATATTAATCTGAAAGTAGTCATCATAACAAATAAAATGTCAGAAGTTGTGAAAGGAGGGAGGGGGCGTCATAATTAATATGGTCCCCAGAGCCCTGCCCCTGAGGGCCCCTGACTGTATCCCCTGAAGCCACTCTGCAATACACGAGGTCCTGTGTGACTGATTTTGGTGGATAATTGGGGTGAATCTGATTTCCGGTCTCATGCTCCTGAAGTTCCACCTGCACTAAATGACAAGAGCCAAGTTCTCGGGGGGAGGGGAGGGGCATGGACATACAGGGCTGAGGAAGCCCGAGGCTGCGACAGAACGTTCGCTCTCAGCCTTGACCACGTGGGCTGAGGAAGGCCTGGGCTCCAGCAGTCCTGGAACCAGCCAGTTTTCCTTGGTGAAGGAAGGTTGAAAAGAAAGGGCCTCGAGAAGGGAGGGGATGGAGGTCTAGTCTCATTGTCAGGAACAATGAACTTCATGCAAAAAGAAAAGTCAAACTATCTCTGAACCAGCAGGGCTAAGGGGGCAGTGTACCAGCACAAATGTGTCTGAGACAATTTGATAGAGAGGGGAAGGAAACTACCTTTGATTAAATGCCTACTATGTGTTATTTTAAGGAACAATCTGGTGTACTTGAATATCGTCATTTGTTTCCAAGGGCCCTTTCAGTCTTGCTTCTTCCGTCTCAGTCCCATTTTCAGATGACTCCACCCGCATTTGTGTCGTTGAAGTAGACGGTAAGTACTGCTATGAAGTTATACGATCATGTTAAGATCTACTTGCTTTTAACTTTCTAAAGCATTTGGGACAGTCTCCCACCCTGAGAATATTATAAACTTCACAGATAATGTCAAAATGTGTCAATATCCCAACAAGGTTTTTCCCCCTTGCATTTTCTGTTTCCCCTGCAGATTTTTGTTTCATAAATGAAACAACATTATATTTTTAAAACTGACCCAGTGGCTCTCAGGGGTAGAATACTGCAGTCACTGGGTATCACGGACTGGCAGCTGGCAGGATCCTGTATAAAGAATACTTTCCTGATTAAAGATTACCCTGAGATTCCCCAGATGTGAGACACAAACTGTTTTCAGTACGAATCTTTACGTTTAGTTTGATACTTACGTTATACTCAGACACAACTCCTTTATAAACTTCGTAAAACTCTTCAACGTTAGCTCGATCCATGTTGAACTATGTTAAAGAAACACCCCACAAAACCATAAGTTGACCAAGCAAAGAAAATGAACTACACTTAAGCACTCAACATTTATGATCTCTTGGATATATTTTCTTTACTTTAAAATGTAAAGTTTGCATGAATCAAATACTCTTGAAGAAAGTGCTATCAGAGGCTAGCTCATCAATAATAAAAATGTGTAACGATTAGAGTGCTCAACGTGTCAGCATTGCTCTGGTCCTGTCCACACAGCATCTCCTCTGATGCTGCAACCACCCTGCCCTGTGAGGGGTGGTACCAGCCCCGATTTGCATGAGGCTGAGACTCAGAGGGGCTGTGGAGCCCCACAAACCTGGGTTCCATGCCAGCCTGACCTCACTGGTCATGCTCTTCACCACAGCATTACACCTCTCCGAACAAAACCTCATTCCCAGCACAAGAAAGAGACATACATAATGCATTGGTGTTTATGGATAAATTAGTGGCACAAGAAAAAAAAAACTACTAAAGAAAATTACTTGCAATGTTGTCGAAAAGGCTGAACATAAGATTTCTCCCAGGCATTCTGAAGTCCCTGGTTAGTCTAGCTCACGATAAAGCACCTGGAATTGTGCTGCTCTTCCAAAAGGGTTGCAGGTACGCTTACGAGATAAGCCTAAAGACTCATGCCTGCCCAAGCTGCACTCAGATTTAGTTAGAAGTAGAAGTTTATCAAGTTCCAGTGTCTCAAAAACTAAGACCTTAAATGTTTTCCGAAATAGCCTCAGACTTTCCAATTTTATTTCCCACCTCACTCCACTCACTTTGCTTATTGTTGCCAGGACTGACAATTATGGAGAAATTTCTGCCTACTCAGACAATAACTCAAACGAGGGGGATTTATTTTATTAGCAACATAACCATACAGGGAGGGAATTTTGTTTGGTTTTTTATCCTATGTTCACACAACCTGTACTATTAATATAATAAAGTAATAACAGAAAATACAATTTATTAAATACCTAGCAATTTGCACAGAAAATTCCACAATTCTTGCAATGAAAATTCTTCCATTAGGTAGGGTTATTTCATTTAATCTACTTAGGTAGACAATAATGGTCTCCTTGTTTAGCTGATAAAACTGAAGATAAGAATATTTGAGCCCTAGCTGTGTTACTAAGTGGTTAGAGTGTTGGCTCACACACTGAAGGGCCATGGGTTCAATTCCCGGTCAAGGGCATGTACCTGGGTTGCAGGTCCAAACCCCTTTGGGAGGCAAATGACGGATGTGTCCCTTTCACATTGATGTTTCTCTCTCTCTCTTTCTCTCTCTCTCTCTCTTTCTCTCTCTCTCTTCCCTCTCCCCCCACCCACCTCTTCTCCTCTCTCCCTCCCTTCAGCTCTGTCTAAAAAGCAATGAAAAAATATCCTCAGGTGAGAATTTAAGAAAAAGCTTGACATCTAGCCACTGTCACATACCTAGAAAGCAGCTGACCCGTGACTCATAAATAGATCTTTAAGACTCCAAAAATGAAGGACTGTGCTTGTCACGAAATCACCATGCATCCCCCACAGGTTCAATGAATCCTTTTTAAATTATTCTTGTTTTCACTGAGCACCTACAAGGGCCAATCACTGAGTTACGTTATAGGTTGATCTAGCCAGACTTAGATCAATGTTTATAGCTAAAATTCCCACACTGGTTATTTTTTAAGCAGGCTTAAGTCCCACAAAGCTGTGGATACATTGCCATGCTGCTACTTTGGGAAGGTTTTGGCTCACAATTTCTTTATAGTCCTAGATAAGAATCTTCTAGATAAGATTCTTCAAATACCAACTTCCTCATCAGTCTCCAAGATTTTGCCTGAAGACTTTGCAAACCAGTCGATATTTCTGACCTTTCCTTGACCTATGGGAAGCCCCACCAATCGGATTGGTATTTCACTATCCTAACAGCAGGAGCTTGCTGGCCTTCGGTACTGTAACACCCACATTGTTTATCATCTGCACCCAATTCCTCCTCAAATGCACAGTAAGCGGAGCACAGAGGCCTGAGCCCCGAAGGAGCGGTGCTGCTTCTTCAGTGGATGGTTTCCTAGATGTGTGTTGGGCAGTCTGCCAGCCACCGAGGGGCTGCAAGGCGCTGGCTCTGTGAAGGTGCCGGAGGGGAAAGCCAGAAACCAGCACAAGGCCCTTGTTAGGAGAAATCCGAAATGATCTCTTCCCCCACTCCCCACTGAGTCACAGATCCAGACAACAGAAAAGTTACTATAACTACTTGGCTTAATTCTATCTTTTGTTTGTAAAAACTAAATACTTTATTTCAGCCCATATTTGCCAACAAAGTTCCAAGAACTGCATAAACCTACTGTACCAGCTTCAATTAGGTGCACAACTTGATTGTTAGTTCTCTCAGTGAAAGATTTGATGTGTAAAAGAATTTCAAAAACATTTTTATTATAAGACTAGGGGCTCGGTGCACAAAATTCATGCACAGATAGGGTCCCTAGACCTGTTCGGCAATGAGGGCTGATCGAGGCCTTCCGGCTGTCGGCCAGGGCCTCCCTTCCCTGGCCCCTGGCTGCCAGCCAGGGCCTCCCTTCCCCAGCTGCCAGCCAGGGCCTTCCTTCATTCCACACCGCCCCCTGGTGGTCAACGCAGATCATAGCGAGCGATAGAACTCCTGGTCTCCTGGTCGAACTCCCAAGGGGACAATTTCCATATTAGGCTTTTACATATATAGATTAACAAGTTCAGTAACTCTATTTGTTGTGTGTGTATTTTAATACAGAGAAAATTCAATGTAAAACATCTTAAAACTTACGTAGAAAGAAACAATTCCTTAATAGGTTGTGACTCATTGCAAACTACGTACCATCTGCATAGCTGAGATCTCAAAGCCTGCGTCTCGGATGGCCATTAGAATCTTCCCCAGCATTCCTGGGAATATAGAACAAACACGTGAAAAATGCAAAACTTCTCAGGCATTTTGGCTGCTTAGAAATACAAATTATCTGCATCAAGTTACTTTCCTTTGCTTACACTCTGAGGAAACCACATTTCCCAAGGGGCAATAAGTCCCTGAGACAGCACCTATGGCCATCGATCCACTGAGAAGTCATTTCCATAAGGTAACCCAGTCCCTGAGACAGCCTCCTATGGCCATTCCATCCACTGAGAACCCAGTCCCTGAGACAGCACCTATGGCCATCGATCCACTGAGAAGTCATTTCCACAAGGAAACCCAGTCCCTGAGACAGCCTCCTATGGCCATTCCATCCACTGAGAACCCAGTCCCTGAGACAGAACCTATGGCCATTCCATCCACTGAGAAGTCATTTCCACAGGGAAACCCAGTCCCTGAGACAGCCTCCTATGGCCATTCCATCCACAGGGGAATCCAGTCTCCAGGACAGCCTCCTATGGTCATTCCATCCACTGGGAACCCAGTCCCTGAGACAGCCTCCTATGGTCATTCGATCCACAAGGAGGCCCTGTCCCTGAGACAGCCCACTATGGCCACTTGATCCACTGGGAAGTAAGGGCTCCAGGAACATCAGGGATGACCCTGAAGATGAAAATATTTCAAAGATACTATTTTGCTCTAGGGCCCATGAAGTCCAGTGATGTCCAAACCATGAAAATAAAACCACTAAAACTCATACTACAAGAAAATGAAATTCCCAAGTATTAGATACACAGAAAGTTCAGAGGAGGAACATCAGATTAAAACTGAAGAGGCATGCCCTAACCAGTTTGGTTCAGTGGATAGAGTGTCAGCCTGCGGACTGAAGGGTCCCAGGTTCGATTCCGGTCAAGGGCATGTACCTTGATTGCGGGCACATCCCCAGTAGGGGGTGTGCAGGAGGCAGCTGATTGATGTTTCTCTCTCATCGATGTTTTTAACTATCTCTCTCCCTTCCTCTCTGTAAAAAAATCAATAAAATATATATTTTTTAAAAAAACTGAAGAGGCAGCAGAAGCTCCACACAAATCTGGGAAAGTGAGCATATCCTCACAACAGTAAGACATCAAAAAGAAAAACAGCTGAAAAGAGAAATGTAACCCAAACAGATGAAGGCCCTGGGTGTCAGCAGGAGGAATTTGTATAATGGATCTATGAACGCTGCAAGGCTGGGACTGATTTTCAGATTCCATTCACTTTCTATAAAAATATTCTAAGTTTCTTTATTTTTTCAAGTCAACTAAAATTGTCTGTCTCACATACATTCACACACACCCATTCTCACACTCACACATACCAACTCAGACTCACATTCACACACACACTCTCACACCCATTTTTATACTCACACATTCACTCGCACTCATACACACCCACTAACACTCACACACACCTTCTCATACACATACCCATTCTCACACTCACACACCCATTCTCACAATCATACCAACTCACACTCACACATGCCCAGTCTCACACACATTCTTACACTCACACATACCCACTCATACTCATACACACCCACTAACATCCACACACCCATTCTCACACTCACACACACCAACTCACACTCACATTCACACACCCACTCTCACACACATTCTTACACTCACACAAATGCACTCATATTCACACACACATTCTAATACTCATATACACACACATTCTCTCTCACACACACACTCACCATATTCTGAGTCATCTGGGTGCTCACCCAGTCATCCCAAATGACCAATAAGTACCAGTATCTGGATGGGCACCTTATCTAGGTTACTGTTACTGCAGCTATTTTCCTTGTAGAAGGCTGAGGGATAAAAAAATAAAATAAAAAATGATGCCATCTATTCCCAAATGACAGATTGGTATCACGTGAAGGCCAAATGACATCATAGCACACTGTACAAACAAAGGTTGTGTGGAAGTCTGAGCATCTAACAGGCTCCTGTCAAACTCTGAACAGTCTGTACCATATCCACATTGACCTTCATGATTTAGTTCTGGCAAACATCTATATCCTATCAATAAAAGAGAAACATGGTAATTAGTGTACGACCTCTACCCTTCCCATTGGTTAATCAGGGAGATATGCAAATTAACTGCCAGCCAAGATGGCGGCTGGCAGCCAGGCAGCTTGAAGTTAACATGAGGCTTGCTTGCTTCAGTGACGGAGGAAACCAACGTTCCCCACCTGCCTTGCCGGCCTCTGAGCTTGCAGTTTGAAACATTGTAACAAATATAGAAGCTAAACAAAACCCCAGAAACCTGCTTTCAGCAAGCTTGGATCTCAGAGCTGGAGTTATACATTGTTTCGATTATAGAACCCAAACAAACCAGATACCTGCTTTCAGCAGCAGAGGCCTCAGAGCTGGAGCCAGAGCTAAAGCTGGCCCAGAATAAAAAAGAAAAAGAAGAAAAAGGAGCAGTTGGGAACTTCAGCCTTCAGCCCCTCACCCAGACTGGCCAGGCACCCCAGTGGGGACCCCCACCCTGATCCAGGATACCCTTCAGGGCAAACCAGCCAGCCCCACCCTGCAGCAGGCCTCTATCCTATATAGTAAAAGGGTAATATGCTTCCCAGCACCGGAATCAGCGGAGCCGAGAGGCCTCCCGGCACCGGGATCAGCGTGACAGGGGGCAGCGCCCAACCCCCCTGATCGCCCTGCGGCTCTGTGTGTGACAGGGGGCGGGGCCACAACCTCCCTATCCACCCTGCTCTGTTTGTGACAGGGGAAGGCGTCCCAACCCCCTGATCGGCCCTGCTCTGTGCCTGATAGGGGGGAGCTCCCCAACCCCCTGATGGGCCCTGCTCTGTGCATGACAGGGGGGAGGTCCCCAACCCCCTGATCGACCCTGCTCCATGCATGACAGGGTAAGGAGCCCCAAACCCACTGATGGGCCCTGCTCTGTGCATGACAAGGGGTAGCGCCCCAACCCCCAGATTGGCCCTGCTCTGTGCATGACAGGGGGTGGCGCCGCAACCTCCCCATCAACCCTGCCTTGAGTGTGACAGGGGGCGGGACCCCAACCCCACAATCGGCCCTACCTTGAGCGTGACTGAGGGTGGCATCACAACCTCCCAATCCACCCTGCTCTGTGCATGACAGGGGGCAGTGCACCAACTCCCCAATCGGCCCTGCTCTGAGCCCGACCAGGGGCTGCACCTAGGGATTGGGCCTGCCCTCTGCCACACCGGGGCAGGCCTAAGCCAGCAGGGCATTATCTCCTGAGGGGTCCCAGACTGCGAGAGGGCATAGGCCAGGCTGAGGGACTCCCCCTTCCCCCCGAGTGCACAAATTTTTGTGCACTGTGCCTCTAGTATATAATAAAACCCTAGTATGCAAATTGATCAAATGGCAGAATTATTGGTTCCTATGATGTGCACTGACCACCAGGAGGCAGACGCTCAACGCAGGAGCTGACCCCTGGTGGTCAGTGCTCTCCCACAGGGGGAGCACTGCTCAGACGGAAGCTGGGTTCATGGCTGGCAAGTGCAGCAGCGGTAGTGGGAGCCTCTCCTGCCTCCGTGGCAGCAGTCAGACATCTCCCAGGGTTCCTGGACTGGGAGAGGGTGCAGGCTGGACTGAGGGCCATCACCTGCCCCCATGCACGAATGTTGTGACTGGGCCTCTAGTCTATATATATAAAAGTCACGTGACCAGAATGATAGAACCAAAATGACCAGAATGATGAGTCACCATAATACGCACTGCAGAGGCCAACCAGCTCAATCAGGGCCCCAATCAGCCCCCACAACCTCCTTCAGCCCCTCCCTCTAGCCAGCCCAGCCTTGATCAGCCCCCCAACCGGATCAGGGGCAGGGCTGGCCAGCCAACCTCCTGCATTCCCTCCCCTGGCTGGCCCGGCCCCAGTTGGGGCAGGCCAGCCAGACCCCACCAGTGCACGAATTCATGCACTGGGCCTCTAGTCACATTATAAATTTTATCCATTATATAGCTTTGTTTGGACCGAATTTATAAAATTGTTTTAAACAGTTGTACATGAAAAAGTTTATATTTAGCTTTATATTTGGACATATTTAAGTTGCATTGTATGTAAAATAATTTGTGTTAACACTGGGAATACATTTTTCCTTCAAGAGGAAACCCTGCCTGGTGTGGCTCAGTGTTGAGCACTGACCTATGAACCAGGAGGTCACTGTTCAATTCCCGGTCAGGACACATGCCCTACTGGGGGTCAAGCCTGCAATCAATTATTCTCTCTCATCATTGATGTTTATATCTCTCACTCCCTGTCTCTTCCTCTCTGAAATCAATAAAAATAAATTTAATTTTTTTAAATATGTAAAAATAAAAGGAAACCCTGCCAAAAGCAATGGAGACTCCCAGAAAGCCTGAGCAGAACAACACAGGACGAAAGTGGTGTTGTAGGAAGGTTACTAAGGCAACAATGATGGGGCAGCTGATCTGAGGGAAGGAATAAAGGACAGGAAGGAATAAAGGACAGAAGAAGAACAAAGGCTTCTGAAATGATCAACATGCCGACTGGGCTTGGGTGGCAGCAGCAGAGAAGGAAGGAGTAGAAGACGTTGCCAAGCAAATGTAACAGGACGAACCTTGACAGACTGTGAAGAGGAAGGAGGAAGGTTTTGAGTCTAAGTGACTGGCAGAATGTGGCACTTTAAAGAAAAACAAAAACATGAGTGATGTAAACAAATGAAGGAAAAAGACACTGAATTATTTTTAACAGAGAAACAGAATTTCAGAGCAGGACACTGACGGGTACTTGAGGACAGAGCTTGGCCATTGGCTGAAGAAGATCACTGAGTGGTGAATGAATGAAGTCCCTGGGAGTTGGGGCATAGGTGCCATCCAGAGATATAATGAGGTGCAGAGAGATCAGAGCTGGAATGATGAGACTAGATGACTACTGTTTGACAAAAAGAAGAACAAAAGCAAAAAAGAGCTTTAGTTTTAATGTTTGGGAAGGAAGAATGAAAATAAATAGACACATAAAA